TGGTTCTCATGATAAGTAAAATAACAGAAATGTGAAGGTCAAAGCCTTCTAACTCTGATAGATTTTGAGGGGAACAGGGTGGGAAAAAAATATGATGTTATAATTGTTTTATTGTATTTGTTTGCTCCCATCATCCACTTTCTACTTCAGGTTGACCTGAGAAACGTAATGTATCAGTGACACAATGGCCAGCGGATCCATCAGCTGCAAGGAAGCGTTAGTCGGTTAAAGTTCTCATTCATAGTTCTTTGAAATGAAATACTTCTGGCCTTGGTTCGTCCAACAATTTGTGATTCGTTGGTTATTTGGTGGAGAATACAGAGCAGAGCATTCAGCAGCTAAACACTCAGATATTTTCCCCAGGAGTTGAAAACAGCTAAAACCAGAGTGAATATTTGGATTTAGATCCATCAAGTGCACAAAGACACGTCTCCAGATGAATGCTAATGTTACTCTGTGTCTGCTTGGTGCGTGAATAAGATGCTCCCTGCTGATATAATACTCATCTTATGAGGTGACAATATGTCAATGTTGGGTTTACAGCTTGTTGTGCCGCTGCCAAGAGGCCAAAAATAAATTGTTAGCGCTTTAACAGATGATTTAAAAGATGCAACTAATTTAATTTAGTGAGCAAGCTAATGTTAAATTCAAAAGATTGTAATCCTGCTAAAAACCATGCAACACATTTGGTCTCATCTGTTCAGCAAATGTGTGAACATTTGCACATTAACTACAGCTGTTAAATTTTGCTGTCCTGTCCTCAACAGCTTCTTATTGCCTTCTCTCTTGTGCTATGACCCTTTTTTCTCCGTGGTATCATTATAGCTCTATCCAGTCTAAATTAAATTAGATGAAACTATAATGATCTAATCTAATCTTAGATTAGAAAGCTTACAGAGATTTTATTTTAGTCCTGTTTGAACCTCCATTACATGATTTGTTCATTGGACCTGCTGCATTAGGTTTGTAATTGGTAGTTAAAATGGGAAAGAGAAAAAAAAATACAAATGCAAATTTTGATCTGATGCTAGTGTTAACACTGGTACTTGTCTCGACAGGCTGCACATCAGGGAAATCTGCAGTTTCACTGGCCTCTCTTCTCCCTGGTAGTTGTTCCTCCTGGTTTATCAACAAGGAATCAGGTATCATTTAAAAGAGAGAGGGCTTGTCGAATCAAGCGTAATCAGCAGGGCAAGTGTTCTGTGACACTCCCAGCATGCTTCATTAGGCTGCCCTGTTGACACAAACAGAGTGGCGAAAGCTGAGCCTTTCACTAATGCCCCTAACACCACTAATACTCGCACGAGGAGGGCAAATTAGCTCTAATTACCCCTGTGATTTGTAGGTTCTGGAGCTGGCTTGTGGAAGTGAAAAAGAGATGTTTGAAGTAAGATGTAGGAAAAGGGAGTAGAAGGATGTGGTGGAGGTGGAGGAGAGATTATGATTGCCATATGTCTCTCTTCTCCTTTCCTCTCTCTCCTCTCCTCTCCTCTCCTCTCCTCTGCTCTCTTCTCCTCTCCTCTCCTTATTTAAATAGATTTGTGTTCAGGCAGCTGGTGTGATGTTGTTGATTGTGAGACTAATCATCTGCTCAATTACTCTGGAATGTGTAGCTGGGCCGTGTTATGACTGATCAGCTTTCCTCCTCCTCTCTCTCACTCTTTCTTTTCATCTCTTCCTGTGGACTCTGACTCTCTCAGTCTGCTACTCTCGTTTGGCATCTGTTTTCTGTCTGCCATTACTATTTCTTCAACACTTGATTAAATTCAATTCAACTGTTTTATTGAATGTTATTTGAAAACCACCTATTTTACAGTATTGGGCAGCACTGTATATAGGTTACAGATGGGTCCAAAAGTCTGAGACCACTTTCCCATCGGTTGGAAAACACTTGTCTTTCCTCTCATCCTGCTTTCCTCTGGACTACCCGGCTAAGGGCAGCAATGATAGGAGGTTCAGTCTGGCATGGCATGGGCTGGCAAACAGGACTCACCAGGTCAGATGGAAATGTGAATTCCAAGAGAATAAAAGAGACAATAAAACTATTTTCTGTCATTTCTTAAAGTTAATGCAATTCTGTGCCACAATTCATTGCCATGATTGCCTCTTTTGTAACCAATATTTATCATTGGTTACAAAAAAGGCAATCATGGCAATGAGGAGATGAGGATCCGCAGCCCTAGATTGGCCTCAGGTTCAACCATTTCTCATTTGATGTATTTTCTGCATGGAAGTGTTTAGGGAACACTGTGTGTGTGTGTGTGTGTGTGTGTGTGTGTGTGTGTGTGTGTGTGTGTGTGTGTGTGTGTGTGTGTGTGTGTGTGTGTGTGTGTGTTTGTGTGTGTGTGTGATCATGTCAGTAGACAGTGTAATCTGAGGGATAACATGGTGATGGGGGGTGGGGGGTTATAACTGGATTTGGTAGGTTTTAACTGTGTCAACAAAAGAATAAATTGCCTTCATTTGGAATCACATTGTGTTTACAACAATAAATATAAATGCTGTCAAGAAATGAACATTGCTTAAAATGCTGTCATATATTATCAGTTAGTGATATAGTCGCTAGTTATGCGTATAAACTGTTTGACAGTGTCATCAAAAATGAAAATCTTAAATATCAGCACAAAGCATTGGCTATTTAAACTTTAATTAATAACTAATGCTACACATGCAACATTTCCTAAATCTCTGGCTTGGTCATTTATTATTGACATATTAATTCACTTTAATTCAGCCTTCAGGTCTGTGTTTCCGAATTTTTTCTGTTCTTCCTGCAGTGGAAGTGCCTGTGGTGATTCTCCAAGGCTGCCAGCAGGATGCCTGTTAGCATATAAGTTTACTACATGCTGATGCAGAGGCTACATGCTAATGCTAATTAAGAGCTCTGAAGGGGAGAGGAGAGGAGAGGAGATTGCTGGAAAATATTTTTAAATCCCACCATCTTTTTCTATATTTTTCCTCTCGCCATGTTTTTTCTAGACTCTTTCCCTTTCTGAGGCCTGTTTTATCAACGACTCTGATAGAGGATTTCATACATTTTTTTTTATACAGCAAATTCCTTAAACACCATTATAAAAATTATCTTTTTGCTGACACACTTTATGAATGAATAAATCTCTTTTATGTGATAACTGCAGCCTGTTATTTTACTCCCCAAACATAGCGAACACGACAGTCAGCCTCCACACATCAACCCTGCAGCAAGCATAAGAGACACAGTAGAGAGGGTGCAGTGCCTGGTAGCATTAGTGCATTCATTTCTTTTTTACATTGATAATCCTTTCCTTTTTAAAAAATTAAAAAAATATATTATTCATTGTTTTATTAGTTGCAGTTAATCAAGTTAAAATGTCATTCTTACTATGACAAGTTGAAATGATGAAAAAGGCCTATGGAAAAACAAACGTGTAAAAGGAACTCGTACAATGTGAACTTTGCTTCATGTCACACTGTAAATCCAAAAAGTCCACTCAAACTGGTTGAGGAATTGATAATAAACAGATATCATCAACTCTGAGTATCATATCAGTCTTTTCAATCCAGGTTTTTTCATCATGATTTGTAGATACTTTGGACAGAACCACAGCTGCTGAAGTCCCAGTGGTTAGTAGAGATGGAGAATGAGATATGTGGGAGAGGAGGCTGGAATGTTAGTGGGCTACTACGGCTGATCATGCCACCTGGTCAGACCGCTCACTACACACACACACACACACACACACACACACACACACACACACACACACACACACACACACACACACACACACACACACACACACACACACACTAGCCGAGCCAGCTGTTGATTATGTCAGGATGGGTACATTTAAGGCTGGTCCTGACACCAGACCCAGCTGAGAAAGATATATCTAGAGTAGGGTTTTCAGGGTTCAGTTTCAGTTTCAGAATTCATTGTACATTGTGATCAGTCCATTAATTCCTCAGAACGGAAACCAATTCATATCTTCATTCACACACTCGACTGAATATTTTCTTAACTGTAGCAGCTGAAATGTGTCTCTTTGTGTGCATGCATATGTGTGTGTGTGTGTGTGTGTGTGTGTGTGTGTGTGTGTGTGTGTGTGTGTGTGTGTGTGTGTGTGTGTGTGTGTGTGTGTGTGTGCGTGTGCGTGCATTTGTGTGTATTTGAGCGTGTGAGTAGTGTGCCACTGTCCGACAAACTTCCTGTCCAGACGGGAAATACATTCTTTGGTATGTGTTCATCAGTCTGGGATTGTGTGTGTTTCTGTGTGTTTCTTAGTGTGGGGACAGACAACAGAACTGTCATGGTACCTTTCACTAGCCATCTGTGGAATGCAACCCACTTCCCTTGGGGCTACAGATCAGCTCCTGTCTGGTCCATAATGCACAATTTGTTGTTTAGCAGCATTTATACGTTGAGTATTGCAACAACCAACACAGTGAATATTCTTATTTAGAGCAACAGCCCAGTCTTGTAAATTAGCATTTTTGAAGATACAGTTTTGATTTCACAAAGTTACCTGTTATTGGACGATATCTTTAAAGCACTGAGATACAGTAAATCTCCAATATGCTTCTGGTAACAAGAATATCACCCTATACATATTAACCAATAACCTGCTGAATATTCCCAGCTGAGTGTGTGGAGGGCTATAGACAGCAATGTGTTCAGTGTTGAATTTAGGGCAACAAGCATTACCTGATTTTTCAATAGGTTAAATAGCGGAGTTACAATTTCTTGGAATGCAATGGAAAAGTTATGCACAATGAAGTGCACAGCAAATGACTGTCCCTTAAGAGCAGCCTTTTCTTTGAATGAGCAGCCCATAATAAGCAGAATATAATTTTTTGTGCTAAATTTAGTTGGAAGTTTATTCTGCTTGGATTCCACACATTTGTTTGGTATGAATTAAACCAATGTCTGAAAAAGAACCAAACTCCCGTTTTCAAATACAGTTTAACAAATTTATTTCTTAAACATACAGTACGAATATTTACACTACACATTTCCCAAAGGCAAAATAGTAAAAGTAGCATTCAGGCAACAAATTAGCAGAAATCATCCAGCAAACAACAACTTGCATGGCAAAACTATACAAAAAAAACAAAAACAAAACATTTACAGTCATCAACAAACATTTACTGTACAGAACAAAAATGTGGATCAAAATTAAGCTCTTGAAACAGAACCACTTGGTCTCACATTTGCATCAAAAGGAGTTTTGTGCCGTCAGAGAAGAAGAGGCCTCCCGTCCTTAAAGCTAGTAGTCTGTTTTCTTCGTTCTTCAAAGGCCTTGACCTTCAGCCAAAGCATTAGATCACTGTTGTTTAAGTCCAAAGCCTGAGTTCATCTCCATAATAAGTCATGTGGACAGTGCAGGACTTGTAGTTTAAGCTAACAGTTAGCATTCAATAGCTACATTTACAATACAGTGCTGGTGTTGCAGCCATACATTGATAAAGCCACATAATAGATCCTTTTATTGTGAACCCATATTCCATCTTTTTTTTCAGCAAATCAGTTAGAACCAAACTGACGTCTTTGCTTTGGTCTGATCAAGAGCTGCAGAAAAAGGAAGAAAGAAACAAGGTCAAATTATTATTCTGATTATTACCACCTATTGCACAAGTTGGAATACACGTGAAGTCTGACAAATACTTTTAGCTGCATTGTTTTGTGGTATATACCTGAGTCGTATGCCTCCAGAGATCCATGTAGGGCTGAAGGGGTCCAGGTGACAGAGGTGGCCGTTACAGGACTGTTGCTGCTGGGATCCATCTCTGTCTTCACCCCTTCGTTGTGTGGGGAACTCCCTGTGTTGGCAGCTGGCTGGTTCTGGTTCCTAACACCAGGCAGCAGCAGAGGATTAAACCTGGGATCCAATGCTGGGCCGTGGGCTGGGTATGAATGGAGCATTGAGTGGTGGTGCCGGGAGTGGATATGGGCGTGGGGGTGAGGATGGTAGATGTCGTGGACATTGGGATAGCCACTCGAGCTCTGGGGGTTCAGGCTGTAGGTCCAGCTGTCGGGGAGGGTAGCCGGAGGCGGGAGGCTGGCCTGGGAGAGCACGTGGCTGGCCCACAGAGCTCCATCTGGGTGGTTGAAGGAAACAGGGCTGGGGGAAAAGTCTGGGTGGACCGAGACAGAAACCGATGGGAGGCAGGGGCTGTTCTGAGATGGATAGGTGCTGCTGCTGTTCCAAACAGAGCTGCTCTGGCCCTCAGAGAGAGAACTACCATCTGAAACACAACATGAGATACAACACAAGTTTGATACTTGAAGTTCTTTTCAAACAACTCCCATAATTCAATCAAGTCAGTGAGTGTTTTACTGTCTAAATATTATTAGAGACTTGCTGCTCCTCTCACCTTTCCATAAGCCGGCAGTGGCTGAAGCAGACTGCTGAGTCACTCTGATTGGCTTGGCCTCGCTGTTGAAGGTGCTGGACTGACTGAGAGCTCGGGAGAAATGCTCATCGATCACGTCGCCGATGTCGCCTTGGAAGTATGTGAACAGAACGCACCGGGAGCTCAAGTACTCAGCTTCTGCTGGCTGAGTAATATCCTTCAGCTCTGAATCGGATGTCGATCTGCGGCCTGAATCGGCTCCAGGACCGTGCTGGAGGCCCTGATCCCTGGACAGCATCCCTCTGCCTCCTCCTTGCTGCTGCTGCTGCTGCTCCATACACTCCTGCATCTTACTGTAAACACTCAGCTTCCTCTGGAGGGAGAGACAGACAGAGATTAGCAATCAGATCCAACCAGGAATAAACTTCATTTGAATAAAACAGAAAAGACTTTACATTTTAGAAGATCAGTCGTTTAAATAAACATAGCAAACTGAACAAAAACTTTCTACTCAAAACTAAGCTAAACTTTACTTTTAGTATTTCGCATTTAAATATTTATTCTCTATCATCACGTGAGTAATTATTTTATCTAGGAGCAGCTTGGGAGCTGTGTGAAAACGAGTGTCTTTTTTCCCATACCGCATTCCAACTATTTGTAAAGCTCAATGTGCCTCGTCCACATTCCTGAGTGACTGACTAGCTGTCATTACATCACCGTTTGACCACAGGATTAATAGTTCCGTGTCATTACGCCTGACCTGAGGTGAATGCCGAGCCCCAGACTGGAATTTAATCATTCAAAACTGAAACTGAAGTTAAGTGTGTGTGTGTGTGTGTGTGTGTGTGTGTGTGTGTGTGTGTGTGTGTGTGTTTATGAGAAAGTTTGAGGTGATGTTCTGAGCAGAAGTCATTAAGCCTTTAGATGAAAAACGGAGGGATTATAGGGCTGGGGACATTGTCCAGCTTCTCTCTGGTGGAAGCCTACGTTAGACATGTCTAGCTGTACACTGGCAGTCTACTCAGTCTTAAAACGTCGTGTTAGTATTTTAAATAGCTACTGCTATCAGTTATACGGACTCACGCTTCCTCCTTGAAAACTTGAGCTCTTGTGGCTTCTTCTCAAACGACTAATAATAATTTAAAAAGTCTTTTAGTTGAGGTTATTTTGTGTCAGTGCCCCTCAGCAGCTGCAAAGTTTCCCTGATGAGTGTCTCACCTGTTGTTGCTGGTGATGGTGGTTATAGTACGTCGCCTTGTACGCCGCTGCAGGGAGGTAGTGCGCTCCATAGCTTTGGTGGTACATCACATCCAGGCAACTCATAGCGACGGAGCAGAGCGGTTAAAAAGTGGAGAAAGTCGTAGTAGAGAAACGCACGCAACACAGCCGAGGGCGACTCTCCCTGAGACTTCAGACAGATTGTATCCTCCGAGCCATCGGCGTCTCCATATATGCCCAAACGCATACAATGGCCATGTCGTCCAGTTTGCATACGGACAATGCGCCTCCCGCTGTGCGCTCCACCAGCACCACCCGGGGCCACAAAATGGATCAAAACGCTATGAGACACACACACACTGTATCCGAAAAAAACACCCTTTTCTCTGACAAGTTTTTAGACCGCTTCTGATTGGGTGAGCATTCCTTTCCCCCTTTTCTCTCTTTCTGTTTTGGAGGGGAGTTATATTTAGAGAGGGCTGGGGCCGTTTACGCACGCCCACCGGGGAAGGGCCTGCATGGCGCAGTGGAGTTTAGCAAGGCACTAACACAACTATGCTTCTAAAGGTTCTGTTCCCACTGGGGGCACCCATTCATAAAATTGTTAATGTACTCATAGTATGCTGCAATATGTCAAATTAAGATCCCATAGCTCATAGAGACCTCTGACCTCAGGACCACCCTAACCCTACACGCCAAAATTTCACAATATTGTTTAACTGCTATCATTATTATTAATTTATTTAGTTCATTGTTTAACTGTTTAATTATCTGTATTTTATTTCCCAACACAAAGTTGTTTCAAAGCTTCCTTTGCAAGGAATAGTTTTAATCCTCAAAAAAAGAAAAAGAAATCAACAAAATATTGAGTTGAACAAATACTGAAATCAGCCTTTTCAATTATGAAATTATCCACCAAGTGTTTTTAGTTAGAAAGAGCAGAAATTAAATGCATTGGACCAAGTTATGAACAGCGTGTTATCTGCAGCAACAGGTGCTATTCAGAGTAGGTACAATTTTATCAGTCAAAATCATCTTTAAGGAACTATTTTCATTTCCACCCTTGAGATGAAGCTTTGAGGCATCTAAAATAAAAAGCAACAGCCTAAAGAAATGCAACATGCAAAATTCCTGCATATTGAAACTCTTTTATGTGTATTTGTTGCTGACCATTGCCCCCCCTGCTTCTATGTCTTTGATTTCTGACATGTTCAAATAATTGTGATTGTTCAGGTCATTCATCACTGCCATGTCTAATCAGGCTGTTCTTGTCAGTTTTCCCTCTTTGAATGAAACTCATTGATGGACTGAGTTGAGCAGTTTGCTGCCACCTGTTGGTGAAGTCAGTTACATGACATTATTGTTGTCAGTTTGTCCTGAAAGGAGACTTGATGAAAGCCACAGAAGTTACATCCACATCATCCATGCAATCAGTAAATGACCCCAAGTAGTGAATGTTCAACTTCAGTAAACTGAATTTGGGTCAATGATGACACAGTGATGATAACACAAAATAATAAATATAATTTACTTTATATGACGTCTGAATTGTACAAAACAACGGAAGTTGTTAAAACGATTTCAAAATGTGTCCACCAATTATTTGCTCTACATTACATTAACCAGAATCTTTTTTTTGCCAGCTTAGTTGTTTTAGATGTAGACATTAAAAATGTTCAACCTTCCATATATCACAGCATATCCATATCTATTCAATACTAATTTCAAATTTTATGAGTCCATCTGTGTTATAAATGAAATGTCACACCAAAGGTACACTTGTTCTCTCAAGGGTTTTAAAATAAGGGGAATCATTATGATCAGACACTAGAACAAAAAGAGCAGTCTTGGTCAAATATTAATTCTTACGGTTTCTATTCTACCATTACCCCAGTTGGTGATATGTGCTTCTACAGATAATAGTACACCATGTTTCACTTTGAGCACACTGCCTCCCACTGCACTACAGCAGGACTGACAAGCATACTGTGAAAGGCAGACAGTGCACACGATTACCATGCAGGTTATTAACCAGAGAACCACAAAAGAGGATGAAAACTTGAGGACTGATACTCTCTGCAGTATGAATTATATGTTGGCCCCTGCTTAATTTCAATGATAGCTTGATGATCTATGTTGCGCATGAGCCTACTGCTAATTTGTTCTGATGCAAAGGATATCACTATGCATTCTCTGACCTTTTCTAAGGGTGGAGGCACTGCAAGCCTTTCCCATCTGCAGCAGGGTTCGGGACTGTGTCCATCGTGCCACTACTACAATTACTTAACAAAAAACTTTCAAAAACCAATTAAAATGATCTGGATGGATAGAGAAGTAGGAGTTCATCAATTGTGAATTGTCTAATGTTTGAACAAAGAACTGTTGGACAACATGATGTGTCCCAATTCCATACACACAAACTCCAACTGGGTTTATAGTGCACTGATACCGAAACTCAAAGACATTGACACTCTCCTTGAATTAGAGCTTGATTAGAGTCTGGTTTTAAAGCACACCATTGTCCCAAAATGCACAGCTGAACATTATAATAGGAAGCAACACAAATCTTGAAAGAAAGCAAATGATTATACAGCTTTAAGAATCATCTACAAAAAGTATATACAGTATTAGCTTTATGTTATATAGCTTGTAAAGTTTCTAAATTTTAAATGGTGAGAAACCAAATTTTCAGTTCAGTCGACATTTGTCAGTACATGTATGTATAATTTCCAGTTCAGAAAGCAGAATATACCAATTGCTTAAATGATACACTATATGGGTTAATATAAACAGTTTAGGGTCAGGTTGGAACATTGGTGCATTGTTGGTTGTTCATAAGGATGGGCTATTCCTGGCTATAGGAGACAGTGAATAAGACATTTACACATTTATTTTGCATCACAGAGTGATGATACTTAGCCACGCAAACATAATTGCTCTGTGCATGGTCAATCACTTTTGTCCAAGCTGAAAATGCAGATATAAATTGCAAATGTAAATTGGATTTATGTTTACATTTTGGCAGACACTTTTATCCAAAGCGACTTAGAAGTGAAGGACAATACTGAAGCTTGGTGCATGTACTAAATACCAAATCCATTCAATAAGGTCAAGTGCAAAGAGATCAGGTAAAGGAGTGAACAGAAAGTGGAGAGTATGTGCTTGTTCGGTATGTTAGGGTGTAAGAGGTGTTAGGAGAGGAAGTGATCTCAGAAGAGATCAGTCTTCAAGATTCTTGAAGATAGAGACAGACACCCCTGCTCTGATAGCATTTGGTAGCTCATTTCACCATTGAGGAACCACAAATTAGAACAGGCTGTGATTGCCTTGTGTGCAGGGATGGCAACATTCCTTGGAGGAACACAGTGGTCGAGAAGGAGCATAAGCCTGTATGATTTTGTTTTCATACATGTGTGCAGGCCCAGAAGTCACTCAGGAGGCAAGCAATTGTGACTTGAACTTGATTCAGGCAGCCAAGTAGAGGTCAATGAGCAGTGGCGTGCCCTTTTAGGCTGATCAAAGACCAGAAGACTATCTGTAAGGGTTTCACTGTGTGACAGACTGATTAGCTAGGATGACTAAGAATTTAGTCTTAGAGAGGTTTAGTTGAATGTGGTGCTTCTTTGTCCATATGGATATATCTGAGACAAGCTGAGATCTTTACTGACAGCATGGAGTCATCCGGTGGAAAGGATAGGTCTAGTTGGATGTCGTCAGCTTAACAGTGATATGAGAAGCCGTGCGAGTGGACACCCAACACCCAAAGAGGTGATGTATATTGCAAAGAGAAGGGGAGCCAGCTCTGATCCTTGGAGCACCCCTGTGGGGAGGGAATGGGATAAGGATGTTTGTCCTTGCCATTACAAATTGAAGGAGCGCCTAGTGAGATAAGATTCAAACCAAGAAAGCACCCATATTGGAGAGTACAGACAGTAGGATGTGGTGGTTAACCATGTGAAAGGCTGCTGATTGGTCTAGCAAGATAAGAACCGAGGACTGAGCAGCAGCTCTAGCTGCCCTTAGGGCTTCTGTCACAAACAACAGAGCCATTTCAGTGGAGTGGCCGCTCTTAAAGCCTGACTGATTTGGATCAAGGAGGATGTTCCCTGAGAGGAACTCTGGCTTCCTGAAGCCAGTGAAGCATTTTATCACATGTGTAATTGCTGGCATAATGGTGTGAGATATGGCTTGGAGGAGGTTGGATGAAATGATGTCCAGTGCACATGTAGTAGGATGACTACCAGTCAGGAGATTTAATACATTAACTCATCATTCTCAGTGAGAGGGGCAAATGAGAGAAGTAACGCACCATTGACTTGGGAAAATGGAGAAGTACATGTATTGGAACTGCTACATGTTACACTTTTTGAAGCCTTGCATTCAGCTAGAGGGCTGAGTGAGAAAGGTGGTGAGCAATTGAGGGGCATGAGAGCAGAGAAGGATTGCTATATGTTTAGCATGCCTTTACACTGCCTTCAGAACGAGGGCCGACCATGGAGAGTGATGGAGACTGGCAACTGCTTTTTAAGGAAACAAGGAGGCAAAGTTATCAGTTGAGAGGTTTGTGTGTGGTGGAGGATTGAGTGATGTTTTGAAGGTGGAACTGGTACTGTCTCTGGTACTGCTGATCTTATCATTGTAAAAAACAGTTTTGGCACCATTGATGTTGGATGAGAGAGAAGATAGGAGTCACTGATAACCCTAGAGATCAGCAGGGTCACTGGATTTATTCCATTTTCTCTCAGTAGCTTTGAGATTGGTACAAAGTTTTTGGGAGGGTGTCAGTCATCCATGGGTGAGGCAGGTTAGATTGAGCAGGTTTGGATGGATTGCCATCAAACTTTATACAGACATTCATGGTCCCCAGGGAATTAAGCCACAGGACGTTTCATCTTGAACCAACACAAAGTTGATATTTTTGATTTTGAAAGAAATACCTTGTCAACTATTCAAATATTGATTGAATTCTAAGAACGTTGTGATCCACTGCCCTTTGTCAGTACCTTGGCTGTATTTAGTGTTGTTTTGAGCACACTGATGTCAGCAATGTGCAAAGCAGTTCTTTTCAGTTCCCCAAATCCCTTTTTTTTTTTAATTTGTTCAGTAAATTCATACAGTGCTTGACTGACACTCCAACTGTGTAGTCCTACTCATTGAACTGAAACACAGCCAAATGGTATATATTCACGATCCCCGGGTTCCAGAGCTGGAAGTGCTTTGACAAACAAACTGGTGTTAACATTTAGCTCAATGTACCACTGTACCTTCATGCAGCCTCACAGAGTGGTCAGCACTCTTGTCTACGATGTAGCCTACTCAGTACTCTCAATAAATCTGCAGATTAATCAGTGCCACTTAATACTCAACTCATCTGGGTGTA